GTTTTTTAAATGCCCAAGAACCTGTATGCTCTGGAGTAGGGTTGCTCACCTTTGCAGCAGGGGTTTCCTTTTGTCCTCTTTGTGGAAATCTGACTGAATTTAGCAAATTTATAAATCTTTGAGGAAAAAAAGCACCATTCTCAAGTACTCAGTGCAGGCTTTACTAGAGTTTGACAGCTAAAATTTTCAAGGACTTCCTTTCCCAGGAACACAGTAAGTCTCCTCGTAGGGGCCCTATGGGGCTATCCACGTGCCAACTACAAAGAGTAACTAGACATGTTGCAGCTCAGGGCCATGCGGACTCGTGGACATTTCCACTGCAAAGCCCATGGGGAAGGCTTAGCCAGTGCTGCATGCGAGAGCAGGAGGCCCGCCCTTCTCCTGCGCTCCCGGCAGATGCACCCGGGATCCAGGTGGCCCTGCAAAGGAAGCAACTGGACCTGAACGTAGAGGAAAGAAGAGGGAAGAGGAGGAAAGAAAAGAGAAGGGAATAAATCAGGGCAAGATGACATTGATGAGGGAGAGGGGAGAGAAATAGTAACTGGGAGGTGAAAGGAGAAGGTGGAGGATGATTAAGTAAGGGAGAGTTGGATGTCAATGAGAAAAACACGGGAACGGGCAGATGTTTGGCTGGGTAGGGGATGCAGAGGGAAGAGGTCCTCTTGCCTTGTCCCTGGCTGGATGAGAAGCTGAAGGAAGGAAAGAGAGATGGGGTTCGTTTGGAGAAAGAATCTGCTGTTAGGAGGAGGCAGAGTGGGAAAAAGGGCAGAGAGAGAATCTTGGGGGGAAAAAAACCACAAAATCAAGATCCAGAAGGAAGGCTTAGACTACTGACGCAGGGAGCCTGGGACAAGGAGCTGGGGCAGCCTGGCTGGGTAGGAAGGGCACTGAGAAAGTGGGTGTGAAGCTAGCATTTTGGGGAGAGTGGAGGAGAACAGGGAGACTGAGACTAGATAGCTGGGCCTGCTTAAGTAATGAGAATGAGGAAATCAGGTGGGTTTGGGAAGGGTTAATGAGCCTCCCTGAGCAAGAGAAAAAGGGGCAGCATGCAAGGAAGTGGGAGGGGAGAGGATGACATGACATGACATGACATGACATGACATGACATGACATGACATGACATGACATACTGGGAGTTGAACAGTGAACTTGGAAGATAACTGATGCAAAGCAACCAACTGTAAGGTGAGAAAATGGAGGATTGGACCATGGGGGTAGGTAAGCAAAGAGATTGGAGAAAGAATAAAGAGCAACAGTTGGATAGGAGACAGGACTGGAAGGAGATCTGGTTGCAGGGAACTCCACAATGATGTAGGCAGAAAGCCTTGCAGTAGCTGGGCAAGGATTCCCCCAAGAAGCTGGAAAGAAAATCTGCCTGGCAACCCAACTCCGGAGCAGGGGTGCTCTCAGAGTGCTCTCAGGGCCCTGACACCAGGAAAGGAAATTACAAGAGTCTCCCCATACTCAGACTGCTACTGCAAACGCTCACTCTTGGAGCTCCTGTGGCAAAGATCTGTGTTCTGGCTCTGAGGGTGTCCATATGATGCTCCTTTAGGGAAGTCTGGTGTGGGAGGGAGGAGCCATGCACAGAGATACATTCTTAAAAGTGTATTCTGTGGACTAAAAGCCAAGCTCTAAAACATGAAGAAATTCCAATGGCAGTAGCATATAAGGCTTTGTTCAGCCCTGTTGGTGTGATAAGATATTACACCATATGCTATTTAGACTATACTTGCCATTATTGTCTGTGACTGCTTCAGGGGAATTGCAAGCCCAAGACCAAGCTAGCATACGGCTTGCTTTGTGCTCTGCAAAGTGTGAGTTCACATTTCTGGTGCGAGGATGGCTAAACTACATCCTGAAGTGGCCACAGGCATCAAGTTGTCCCACAATCCTGCCTTCACATTACTTGGAGTCCTCCTAGGAAGTAGCCTTCAGCTGACTCTGGCAGAAGATATATGGTGTTGCTAAAATCCTGTTGAGATGTACCGTGGCAGACACAGGTGGAGTGTGTACCTCCACACCTGAGCATGTCTATCTACTGCAAGAAGGGAAGGAAAAGCACGTTTGCCACATTCATATTCCTATGCCCAGGAAAGGATTGTATGTATGCATGCAGCAGAGCTGAGGGTACGCACACATGTGTGCTTGAATGCTCATATACACAATTATGTTTTGGAGGAGGGAAAAATCAAAGAAAAGTCCTTCACACTTAAAATGCACAAAGTTTGTGATGATCCCTAGACTTTATAAGAGCTGTTCCACAGCCTTTTGTTGTTCTTGGAAATACCGTCTCCTGCACAAATAAGCTTTGTTACCGCTGTAGAGAGTTTCCTGTTTATCCTAGAAATGAAATTATCTTTTTAAGCCATTGAGTGCTTCAGGAAAAGAACCAAAACTTTGAAACCGCTTCAGTCTTCTGTGGCAAGGCAACATGGTGAGCTGAGGACAGGTCTGTTTATTAATACGGGGTTCTATGAATGTTTCTTCTGGAGGTGAATATTAGCTATAATCGTTTATGCTGGACATTAGCATTAGCTATTTTCAATTTTACAGACAGACAGGGTCTGCATGTGCATCTGTCATTGAAAATCAGGTTCCATGGGGCATATCCTCGTGTGTACCTCTATTCCTCTTCATCCTTTTGGTCCACCACTTTGTTGTTCACAGTAGCATATCCCTGTGGCAAACACAGATAATGCTTACTAGGAAAAGTAATAAGAATAAGGTATTTAATGTATTTCTAGCCTTCTTTAATGTGTTGTAGCTGTGAATACAAGGCAAAAAGCAAAACCATATGACCATGCTACTTTGGGAGCGGTCTATAAACTGCAGTTAAAATACTTTCAAGATATTTATGCAGTGCATAAGTCACGTGAATAGAGGTTTATCACAATCAGTAGGAATGCTGGATTTTCATATCACACATTTGCTGCTTAGGATGATTAGCAGGAAATTTAATTTGCACTAATTAGCCTTAGGGGAGCAAAAAATTAACTTGATGGGTAAATTTCATGTTTTACTATATACCATACCAACATGGAGAAATTTGAGTTAAAGCCTGAGTTAAGTCTTATGCTGATACACTGGACTTCAGTTTTTCTAAATTAAATTAATCATATCACACATTTGCTGCTTAGGATGATTAGCAGGAAATTTAATTTGCACTAATTAGCCTTAGGGGAGCAAAAAATTAACTTGATGGGTAAATTTCATGTTTTACTATATACCATACCAACATGGAGAAATTTGAGTTAAAGCCTGAGTTAAGTCTTATGCTGATACACTGGACTTCAGTTTTTCTAAATTAAATTAAAAGACTGTAGAAAATTTATATATGCATTGTGAATGGGTGGTGTTTTTTAGGAGCTAGTGTCATAGAATAGTCGTTCAACGTATTCATTGAGTTGTCAGCCACTTCCAGACAGTGTGGTATATTTTTGTACATTAAATTACATTAATATCTAATATTACAGCAAAAGCTGTAACAAGTCCTAATTTTCTATATTTGTATATTTTCATTATATAATGTGTGTTATGACTGCACATGCAATATTCCACATTGTAATGCACAGAGCAGAAACAGTTTTCACAGAACTACTGTGAAAACACCATACTTTTTAATTTACAACACCCACTTGCAAATACATTTTTAGGGTCAGGAGCCTTTGTTCATATGCTGGCAAAATTCCTATGAAAATAAATTTTTTAGCAATTACTCTCAAAAGTAGACAGCAAATGAGGGAGGCATGAGTCACTGCATAGTCCTAATAGACAAATAAGAATTAGGAACTAATAAACTCTAATCTTGCCTGTTGACGGGGACTTTTCTATTTCATTTTTCCAAAACACAGTTTAGATCACTTGGTTTTTCTCTCTGTAAAATGGAGGCAATTTTTATGTATCCACCACTCAGAATTACTGTGGATTGATTAATGCATGCAAAGCAATGAGTCATCCGGTATGGAAGTATCGGTCTATTATAAACTGAAGTGTTCTGTCATACTAGGCTTGTGGTTGCATCCAAATTTATCTGTAAAAAAGGAGATGGAAAACATTGGTTGCATACAAGATAATTGCCTTTGATGTCAGTGCTTCTGGTAGTTTGTGCATCTGAAATGCACCCAGAAGCTCACTATTACTATTACATATTTGGAATTAGACCTTGTAGCACTTACCTGAAACTACTATTGACATGAGAGGTGTGACTTCAGTGAGAGTTTTGGCCGAGTAAGTATTGCAGAATTGGGTACCTTGAGTCCATAGTTTGGGGTTTAAGTGGTGCATATAAGCTGGTTCAGGCATCTGCTCAGACTTTCTGGCCTATGACATAAATACTTCTGGTCTAAACAGACATCTCAGATAGACCTGTGGGTAGTCATATATTGTGTAACATATATCATATTGCATTCTCAGGTCCTTCTTCAATCGCTAGGACTCTGATTTCTCAGCAGCAGCCCTCCTATTCAATCAAGAGTGTGTGTGCATGTGTGTGTGCATATGTGTGGGTGGGTATATATGAATATGCATGTGCCCACACACAGACAAACATATATGTGTACACACACCCCCTATATAAATGTGCTTTGCCTTTTTGGGTGTATGAGTATATTTCTGTAAATGCTCACCACTTGTATTTATATATTTATGAGTAATATCCAACTTTCAGTCATAATTGACACCATGTGGCTTTCTGTATAATAATTACTTTGGGACAAAAAACCTTGCAGATGGTTTCAAGAGTGACTCTAACTCGCCATCAATGTAAAAAGATTAAATAAGATGAGCCCACTCCCTCTGAATGGAGTAAGCCGTTTTCATTGATTTCAATGGGAGCAGGCGCAACTTCATTTCTACAGCAGACAGAGAACATGTATTATATTCATTAAATGAAAGTTTGATTTCATTGCGCTTAAAATTATTCATGTTCTGTTAGCAAATGGTTTGAGATTTTATAACCTAGAGCATTTGCTGAATTCTGCTTTGTATTTTCCTCACAGCAATTGGAAGGACCCTCATTCCTCGTTATTTTAGCACTGTCTTTGAAGGAGGTGTAACAGACCTGTATTACATTCTCAAGCACTCAAAAGAGTCATACCACAACTCATCCATCACAGTGGACTGTGATCAATGCACCATGGTCACTCAGCATGGAAAACCCATGTTTACCAAGGTAACAGGGAAGACTCAATAAAGCATGTTGTTGGTTTGGTTTTTTGTTTTTGTTTTTGTTTCTTTTTTTCTTTTTCAGTGTGTGTAAGAGTGAAAAATATTGGCTGTTGCATTTTTTTCTGGTGGACTGAGATTATTTCTAATACTGAAAACCCTTGAAGCCATTTAATTACTATTTTCTATATTCATTACGTGACTGGAAAATTCTGTGGGCATCCTCTGCAATTCTCCCAGAAAAATTGTAAGAGAAGCATATAAAGCCAGGTTGCCAGAACCATCAGCTGTACGTGAATTAAATTCAATCTCCCCATCTCCTTTTCTCTGGGCTTGATTTTAAAGTGACAATGAGATTTCACATTGCTGGTATCTACCATTTGGGTTGGTATGCTTTACATTTGATACTTACCCAGTCCAAGGACTATAAATCTCTAGAAAAATAGTGATTTAATACAGTAGGATGCTGGTCCAAAGGGCAGTGAAGTCAATGGAAGGATTCCATTGATTTAAACATGCTCTGGATCAGGCAGTTAGTGAATATTCAATATTTGTAATTGATAGTGAATTATCTTCATGCATGGGCCACTTCTAGTCCTGTAATTAAACTGAGTGCCATATACTTATAAAAAACAGTACCAAAAAGGTGGAAAATACAAGTTAAAACAAAAATTTTCTTATATTAAAAAGGTCAGTAAACTGATTTTCAAAATGGATATGTACCCTTTCGTAAATTAAAAGGAAATGATGATTTTCCGTCTTGTACCTGTTCATCTGTATGAATTTTAACCTTTGCATGGAGAAAAGCACAAAAGGAGAAGGGGCAGCAGGAGGAGATAACCCATCCATGTTGCCCTTGGCCTGCAGGACTGTGGAGGTTTTAAAATCAAAAAAGGCACCGGCTGTTGACAGCATCATGACCAGGGCCCACATGGCTTACGCGGTTTTAGCGTGTATGTGAGTGCCATCCCTTCGTAGTGTCTACCCTGACATCTTCATGGTTCTTGGTGTGGGGCTCAAAGAAGAGGGAGGGGAAGCCGCTGGTTTGCGGAGCACTGGTGAGCTGGGAGGTGTGCATTTGATGGTGTCGTCGTTCCATCTCTCTCACTCCAGCCCCCTGTGACTTACATAGACACAAACAGAGAGAGAGATGCAAAGAGACCAGATATTCCTAGGTAACACCTCTTTGCCACGAGGAGTTGTGCCTGCTGGCCATGTGCAGAAGACGTGGCGAGGGTATATAGCTTCTTTGCGTAGCTCCCTAAAACGATTTCTGTCATTTCCCTTTGTGTTAGCTTTAATGCAATAGCAAATAAAAAGGTTTTTTTCTGAATCAGTAAACAAAACACGCTTTTCTTGGTTCAATTAGTTTCTTTTACTTATCATAACAGCACATTACAGTGTTGTTACTTTGGAAAGGAGACTAGTATCCAGCAAGTCAAAGATAGACTAGCAGCAGGGACCGGTCTGGGTGCACACCTCGTATGAGGGGGGTCACAGTTGCCTCCCGTAGCACCATCCTGTTGTGCACGGTGAGACCCTCCGTGTGCACTGCAGCCCTGGCAGCGAGTGCATGGCCTGCTTCAGCCCTGACGTTTCTGTTGCGGATTCCAACATAAACCTCTGTATCCCAGTAGGAAAGTTCAGAGGGGGATGTGATTTGGATTCTAGGAGAAAAATTAGGGGGTTTTAATGGCTGTATGTTTAAAATATGACTGTATTAATAAGAGCAAATTTGAAATAAAACACAGTACTTGGTGGAATAAGGGAGAAAAGAATATATTACTCTCTCAGAAATAAGTTAGAGCCGAATGTTGTCTCAGCTGTGTGTGTGTAACTTCTAGCAGAGATACTGAGGGCACAGATCTTGTACCCAAAGGTAAACTCCTAACTCTCACAGCATCGGTGGTGGAACAAAGCAGACCTCCCATAATAAGCAGCACTCCAATGGACTGCGTAGCTCCTTAGATCATGTCTGAATTTGACCCAATAAAACTACCACGAAGGGTTTTTTAAAAGCAAAAATACAAACTAACTATATTTGTTAACGGCTGTTTCAGTTTCGCAACTTGTAAGCTACAAATTCACTAACTTCTAATATAATGGGCTGAAACAGTTCTCATCACATATTGAATCAGGAATCCACAGCTGCATTTTATTCATTTCAACATTTTCCTAGTTAGAGCAACTCACTGCTACTGCAGTATTGGATGAATATATAAAATGGCATTTCCAATTTTTTTTTCAAACAAATATGGCTAGAACATGCCTAACAGTAACAATATGAATAGTCCAGCTTGTCTTCAGAGGGCCAGAGGTCCTTGTAAAGTGTCACGCACTTTAAAATTGTTTTAGCAAGGTATAAATAAATACTAGAAAGAATTCAATACAGTTCAATGGCATGAATTAAATGGTAAAATAAGAGACTGAAGCCCTAACTACCATGTTTGTTTACCTGGCAGATGCTTCATTTTTTTTTCCAGGTAAAGGAAAGCTTTACGAGTCCTCCTAAGTCTCTCCTTTCACCGTGTTTACCGACACTCCAACTTTATGTGTAGGCAAACTGTTTTTCTGCAGTTAGCGATGTTTATTTATATTTCCTGATAGATTGGCAGAGGCGAGCTTTGCCTTCACCACTAGAGCAGTGAGCACCCCGTGTTCGAACCGTTCTCCTCCTGCGCCCAACAGTGGGGCCATCAGCTGGATTTTTTAGATGAAGCCCTTGAAACTCAGTGATTTTAATCCTTACTAACAATCTCGGGCATTTCCCAGACTTGTATAAGCTTGTGGTTTCTTTTCAAGCACAGAGTCAGGTTTGAGAAATGGTCGTTAATAAAAGGGGAAGAGTTTTAAAAGATGCCGGGTGTTAGGAGAGCGAGACTCTGAGCAATAAGGCACAGGACCGAAGTTGGTTTTCATAGGTGCCAGCAGTTGAAATTCCTACAATTAGTAAGTGCAGTGAAGGGGTTAAAAAGCTATTGGTTAGTTTCAGAAATGTTCTTTTTTAGTTTTTTCCTGGCCTAGTCTAGAGCAACCACGTGATATACTGAATGCCTGCCAGCCTCTTTCTTGTTGATCCTCCGGAGACCATCTGTGCTGGGGGCATTGATTAGAGTGTGTCTGCTGGGATTACATCTTTTCTGTTGCCATGCCAACTAATCAGCTGATTTTGGTTACCACAGAAACAAAATGTCAGAGCTCACAGTACGGTAACATGAATTCAGCACAACAGAAAATGTTTTCTTAATTGGAGACCCTTTTGATTTTTTTGATTCTATGTAAAAGGCAGCTTTAAAAATAAAAAAAAGGCCCATTTAAAATAAGAACTGCACCAATTTTATTGATTAAAAGCAATGCTAAAATTCTGCTCTACATAAGGAAATTAAATTCCTTTATAAGATGTATAAATTTTTACCACTGTGATATGAGGTATGTGTTTCAGTTTTTCTATTAAAATTTGTTGATGCCAGTGCATAAAATAAATCTGTTAAGAGCTGTGGGGTTTGGAGCTTAACAGAAGAAACAGTTGAGAAGCCACAGGTATTATTATAAAAAAAAAATTTTAAACCTGAAATATTTTCATGTTAACTGGTCAGTAATCAGGGTCTTTGGCTTCAACACAGTAACATTAATAGAAAATGTTTTTCTTGTATGAATCCTTACGTGTGCGCATGTGTACCCCTGTGTAATTTCTTATCATAGTGCAACTGATGAGAAAATAAAAATCAGGGTCAAATGACAAAATAAGTCACATTAAAAATTTGAGGGCATCACTAAGGCATGTTGAAAAGGGCAGATGAGAACCTGTTGCAAGATTCTCCTTCATAGGTCTACAGTAATTTGTCTATATAGTATGCCTATTAAAATTACCAACATGTTTTTGCAGAAACAACCAGGAGGAAAAACTATGATGGCGTTAAGTGAACTGTTAACCAGAAAAGCCACACATTGCCCAAGTGGGAACTAGCCAAGTCTGAGTTGGGACTTGTAAAAAGGCTCAACAGACTCAACTGAATCTAGGATGGCTAGCTGTTCAATCAAATGTTAGTTGTATTAAAATTAAAGTTGCAGGAACCTTTTCTTTTGAAAGCCGTTACACGCTGTTTCCACAATTTCTCTGTACCCTGCACTTGCAAGTTTACTTTGAATAGGAGTTGTAAGTCTAAACATCCAATTTAAAGAAAAAAATCAACAACAGAGGGAGTTAATTTTCAGATCATGCATCATTTACAGTACTCCAGTCAGGATACCATGCTGGGCATGTATTTTGCACCTTAAAGACCACCACAGCCACAGCGGTTTTTCCACATAAAGTTGTGGACAGTTGTTTAAAAGTCCCCAGTAGCTTATTCTACTTTTCGTTTCCAGGTAGTACCCACTTGCTGCATTTATTCCTCCCATATTTTCTCTCCTTTCTCAGACAAGACCCCTCACAAAGCTGCGTGAGCCACTTTCTGTGGAAGCAGCTCCATTGTCCAGGACTGCAACCTGTTCTCTGCTCCCCTGGCTCTCAAACCTGCTGTGGCAATGCAGCTCATACAGCCCGATCATACAGCCCGATGGCAGACACCCCGTCTGGCTTTCCTTGGAAGGGTGGGGTTAATAAAAGTAGATAAGAAATGAAAAATAAAAATGGGATAAAATGCCTGGAAAAGACAAGAAGGAAAAAAAAATAGGAAAAAAATCAGGTTTGGCCACAGGCATTCAGAGCTCTGTGTACTCCAACTGGACACGAAAGGAAGGTTTATATGCCAAGCTATTGTAAGGAAAGGGCAACATAAAACAGGTTGGGAATGACTGGTTCAGCAACTTGACATCAAGTGTGTGCAGTTGCACCACAGCAACCTCCACTGCGAGGTTCAGTCATTAATTAGCAGTAGCAAACTGCGAGGGAAAGAGAATTGATGCAATAAATAAGATTTAGCGCATGCAATATTCTATGTTTGTAAAATGCTATAAAATCTATAATATTATAAGTTACTGTCTCCACTGTAAGGCCTATAAAATTATTTTCCCACATTCGTTTTTTCTCCCCAAGAGAAAGAAAAACAATTAATCTAGCAGAGATGAACAATAGAATACTGCTCTGATATTTTTGAATGTTGTTTAATCGATGATACAATACCATTGAAAACAAAATTCCTGGGAATTTATTTCATGCATTTTATGTATTCTAGGTATGCACAGAAGGACGTCTTATCTTGGAATTTACTTTTGATGATCTTATGAGAATAAAAACATGGCACTTTACTATTAGACAGTACAGAGAATTAGTCCCACGCAGCATTCTAGCCATGCATGTAAGTAATCCTTTTTTCACTTGACCTAATGCGAAGAGATGAGATTAGGTTTATGAAGAACTCCAGCAAATTTCACACCCAAGGCAATTAACTATAAATATTTTGTTTTGCCTGCAACAACATCCATTTACAAGTTCTTTCATCACTCCCTTGTTTCTCAGTGCTCTATTGTTAGCACTGTTGCTATGTTTTCATTTTGTTTTAGCACATAGTTTTCCTTTTAATCCTATTTGGTGGTCTGTATGATTTGGGCCCATAATCTGTTCTTATTGACATGAACTACACTAAATTCAGTGAATTTTCATCATTGTAGGTATGAATTATATTTAGTCTTTAAATTTAGCAAACTGTTACCCTTGTATGAGACAGAAAATAAGTAATTACCATATATTTACTTAGAAACCTCTAGAATTTTAATCCAGATCTTTTTTCACATTTCAAGACTTTTTTTTTTTTAATTGCATGAAAACACACACAATGGAATATTAAAAAATTAAATATTCTACAGGTTGAAGTCAAACTATTATAAAGTAAATCGTTGGGGAGAAACAAAGGACAGAGTCTTATTGCCACTTTCAGTTCTGCACTGTAGAATCGTTCAGATTAGTAGTGCTCCATATACAAAATTAATTGCAGGACTATGGTTTTATAGAGGGTAAGAACACAGGCCCAAATATGTGCCCGTATTTTGACATCAAGTTACTTAGATATCCATAGATAAAGATATATTCCTAGTGAGGAATTTTAAATAACTTAAGCAGCCTGGACTTTTTTGAAAATGCTATTACAGGCCCGATGAAAATACCTTTGAAAATCTGCCCCACCATTTCCGTCTCAGAGTTATTTTAGAGGACTGACCTTCTGAACTCTTCAACAGTATCCCATTAAGGGACAACAAGGATGGCCATGAGCAACAATATGTATTTAGAGGGCTGCAATTCAAAGAGAGTAGACCAGGTTAGGCAGCAACCAGCAGGTATTAATTTTAGTAATGAGATTGATCTCATTTTGAAGAGGAGGCTGGTCTCACAGGTAAAGCTCCTGGCTAGGGTCAGAGAAGGACTATGCTTGCATTTTTCCTGTTTAATTCTGGGAAAATAACTTAGGCCAGAAGGGTTCTCCAGCCTGTGCTTAATGCTTCTTACGTGATCAGCTCTACTGAAGGTGCCTTGAGTTCTCTCTGCTTCAGTTTCTTATCCACAAAATGAAAGCAATACCTTCTTTATTCCTGCTTTTATCTGCTTCATCTCCTGGGACTCCCAGCTAACAAATGGAAGACTTAAAGTGTGTTGTGATCCCTCAGGAAGCTCTTTGGTGGGACTCTGCTCACTTGCACCCCTGTGCATGACTGGACCTCCTAGGTCTCTCTCTTGAATGGGTAGGGACAGAAAGAAGATGTTGGAAAACAGTCTTTATTCTGCTCCAATTTCATAAGGTTTTGCATTTTCCTGTGCAAACAGAACTCTGTAGCTTATGAAATAAATTTAGCATCAATGTGTATTTTTTCCATAGGAATGGCAGCTCTCTTCAGAGAACCTTCCCTGCACTCCACCAAGCACATAGAGAAAAACAAATAGACAAAAAGCAAAGTGAAAATTCTTTTTTCCTCTGTTGTTTAGGCACAAGACCCTCAGGTGCTGGAGCAGCTGTCCAAAAACATCACTCGAATGGGTCTGACAAACTTCACCCTCAACTACCTCAGGGTAAGCATACCATAACTGATGATTATTTTGAGCATTTTTTAAAAGTTACTGTAAGCTTTGAGTCAAGGTAATGAGAGCAGAGCCTCTGTCAGTCAGGTGAGAAATGGACCTTAATCTTAGTGAGGATGAAGGAGAAACGCAGAGACTGTAATAAAGATGTAGCTGCTAACAACGTGCCATTAAAAAGGATGAGAATTTTATCATGGAGTCGAAGCAGTGTGGGAGTAGCCAATGCTTTTAAAGGTGGCTATTTTGTAAGCAAGAAGTTCCCCACCATTTTTCCTCTCTGCTTCACTGTTCCTGAGAAAATGGCAGCTCGTTCTTATTAAGAGCTGCCTGTCTTCTCCAGCTCTTCGACCTCCCCGCCTCTCCCAGGCAGAGGCAGGGCTGAGGGAAAGCTCAGCTCCAGTCCCGTTTGCAGCAGTTCCTCAGAGCAGTCCTCACTTCACTTGCCTCTAGGAGCCTGAGCTTCCTCCTCAGCCTTGCACTGAATCAAGTCTGGGTTTTATGATTAAATGATGCATTTGTTCCCATTGCTTTTTGACCCTTAAAGTGCATTCAAAGTTTGGAAGTTTATTTTTATTTTTGAAAGTATTCCCTGGTGTGGGCTTACAATGCATACACCGAGATACGGGTTTGTAGAGTTCATATTTCGAGGTTAAAATTCAAATTTTTCTTATTTCTAGACATGCCATTGGTAGATAAAATGAGGCAAATTACTCAATGATGCACTGGGCTAACTTGGCCAAGAATATCTGATTTTATTCCTTTTAATTGTGTGAGTAATTATTCAAGATGCTTTTTTAAGATAACAAGAACACTAGAAAATGCAGTTATTTCAGCCTAATGTGGGGCTGTACCTGATAGTCTATATTGTAGTTGCACTTCATTCAGGTCTATGATCTTTGTAACACCTTCCCTCTGGATGGAGTCCTACCCCCAGAGTGTTTTGAACTCTAAGGGGGACAGTGTGCAGACTGAGATGTGTGGTGAGATCTCTCTCACCGTATTCCTACAGCTTATAGACAGACTGTAATTGTCCTTACTCTCCCAATATGATAAGCCATTACTGATTGTTACTTATGTGGTGTTAGCGTAAATGTTACCGTTCAAATTATAGTCTGAGTTATGCAGGGCAGGTCTGCTGTAGCATAACTGAAACAAGAATATGGCATAAAACCTCAGAGGAATAATACATTGCATTAAAATCTTTCCGTGTATAAATACAAGAATAATATGTGTATGTTGTGCATATTTTACTCTCACAGTTAGTTTAGTCTCTGGTTTGGTACTGTGCTTTGGCAACATCTCTATAGCCACACTGTCGTTGTCTCGTGGTGAGGCATCCTAGAGCACATTCTCCAGAAATCCCCACTGGGGATTCCTCCTCAGTCACGCCAAGTTTTGCATTACACCCTCGTGGCAAACTGGGCAGCAAGCAGCTGGCTTAGGTAGGCTATTTCCATATTTTCTTTCCGAATTTTCCTGTGGCACAAGGCATTGCCCTTCTTTTGAGGTCTTAATTCCCTTAGCATGACTGGATGTACTGGCAAGCACTTGGGCTGGCCCACACCAGCCACAGTACCCGTCCTCCGCGAGGCTCGGAGGGCCATGTTGAATTTGCAGCGCTGTCTCTATCACCAACCCCTTCCGGGTCCTTTGTGGCATATTCTGTAGTTGCTGAATGTGACAATGCAAATGAGAATGGCAGGGTCCCTGTTAGGACGCAGCTGGCATCAGGCACCCATGCTGCTCCCCCCGTCAGCATCAAAAAAAAGAAAGGAAGGAAGGGGGGGAGGGAGAAAAAAATCCTCAGAAAAAGAAAACTGGAATCAAGATAAGCGCTAGGGAGATGAGCAGTGAAGTGGAAGGGGATGAAAAGATGAAGTCTTACTTTTTCTCTTCTTCCAGACTAGTTTTGTTAGCTTAACAGACAACATTAGGTCTCTGGGTGCAAAGCTTCCTCTGGCTCCCGCTATGGTGATTCCAAAAGGAAATCTTTTTTTTCCCAAGCCAATCTTTGCGTGTCTCTTGTGGTGAGGAATTGAGCATTCTGCTCTTTTTTCAGATGTTCAGCTCATCATGGGAGCTCGTATTAGATGGTGTATTTCCATTTTGGTTTACTTCTCTCCCAATTACTTTCTTCTGTTAATTTTAACATGAAAATCTTTTCTGAACTTGGGACTGTAAAATCATGCACTAAAAAAATGTGGTAAATGCTCTTAGGTTTAAGGTGTTTTGTTTTGTGGTTGTTTTTTTTTTTAAGTCAGCGTTTTATGATATTTTATTCTGTCTTCCCAGTGTTTGGTAATTAGCGCTGTTACATGGGTTTGAATAAGGATTTGAAACTAAGCATAAAAATTATTTTCATTTTTTTTCTGCTGCACAGAGCAAAGGCTTGTGATACTCATAAGCGAAAACTTTACTGATGGGCAGAATTAATCATTTTTATTCTCCAACGTGCACACAGCAGCAAGCTGTGCTGCAGTCTCTTTAAAGGCAGAATTTAAACCTGGATTTCAGATGGTTGTGATATAAAGGTACAGCCTGGATTTTTTATGCTCTAGACATCACAGAATGCTAAATCATTGCTGGTTGGGATAATTGCAGTTGCTGGCATGTAAACCTCCGTTCCAGAGTGCCACATGCCTGTAGAGCCACAGCTTTGGATGCGTGCCCTGGTTTGTCTTCATTCACTCCGCGTAACGCTGTCCAGCATAGAACACTGATTTTGTAAATCATATTTAATGCAAATTTAAAATATATCTTCTTGGAAGCTGGAAATGAAATGTTTTGTCCTGTGTCATTTGCCAAAGGCTCTTTCTCCCTGTTTTCTCTGGCTCTGTATAAAACCATAGGCTTCCTTTCTTTCTAGTTACTAGTTTGTTTTGTTCCAGCATAATTGATTACCTCATCAATGGGGTCAGCATGCTTTGCTGTAGCTGCTGACTAGGAGTTGAATAGGCTGTCTCAGAAATAATGAGCAAAACCTTGTAGGTTTTAAATTAATATCAAGCTTTTTAAAATGTAATTTCTCATCAAGTCATCATGTAGTAGATATTACAAACTATCAGATAATAAGGCCAAGACCCATATCCTAGTCTCAGTCGGTATGAGTCCAGGAACAAACAGGAATCCTGTACAGACTTTGAAGATGGAGATAACACTTAGAAGAACAGTTTCCAGCAAGGTACGATAATTTGGTCCCCACACATTACCTTCTTATTTTTTTTCTATGTAATTTTCTGGTTGCTCAGCTATTTTATTTAGATCTTCAATGAGGAATGATTTGAATGTACTTTTAAAACAGTAGTTTTATACCAGCAGCACTATTCACAATTTGGAGCTCAAATGTTTCTTGCTGCCTTCTATAAAATGATCTATTCTCTCAAAATTTCTGACATTATAAAAAAGCCAGCCCCTACTGTCAGTTAGGCAGAACTACCTGGCCTGAGCCTTGAAATATAGTTGTATGTTGCCCAGCAGGTTTTCAAAATTTGTCTCTGCTTTCTTGCACTGGTTGGGTTGGAGCAATTTCTTGGTGCTCTTCCCCAGGTGTAGCTATTGCATCCTCCACACGCTGTGGGTCTGCTCTGGTAGCCAGTTTATTGGTGTTAATGGAGCCAGATCTGCATCTGCCCTTTGCAAAGTGAGAGTTAGCATGGCAGAGTCCTTCCGCTCTGCGTCAGGAGAGGTATCTATGCAGGGGAATGCACACTCCCATTTCCCCTTACATCCTGTATGGTTATATTAACCAAGGCTTATCTGAGCTACAAATTATCCAAATTGTTTGTTTTCTGTATAAACCAATAATGAAGTGTTACTATTGCAACACAGAGGACAATATTTCCTGAATCCCCACTTTCACTAATTTAGTTCCTCACTAGACACTTTCGGATTTCTTCTGCTAGGAGGATAACATGAATTATTTAATGGGACACAATTTTCTAAAGACAGTACTTATATTGCAATCAAAAGCCATTTGTATGTATACCCATTGTGTATGCAAAATTTTGTTTTGCACATGCAAAATAGACTTGCACACAACAGCTTCCTTTAATGTGCAGGGAAATTTGCTTCTTTAAATATGGTTTAATGCATGGAAAGGATATGAACTCAAATCATTTGGGAGCTAGTTTGCTCCTAATATGTAACAGTTTGTGGCAGCTAGCTGGTCAATATTTTACAGCTGTTTGTGTATCTTCAGTGAAGAAGGAGAAAGATTATATGCAAGCGTGTTAAGGATGAAAAGTCAGGTACTTGGGGAGAAGAAATGCTATATTTATAGTCACCCATGCAACATGAATTCGTTTCCCTTTGTGAGTTACGTTATGTCATCATCTTCTAACTACATCATCATGCATTGCGTTTCCCGGACTCCCTGACACGTGCAGTGCATGGGATGACTGGCACTCACTCGGTAGCAAGTGCTCCAGTGCTATTCATTTCATTGTAGGCTTTTCTGCAGTGTCATTCTAGTATCTCAACTGCAAATGTTAATAGCTGAATGGCACCTACCCGCTGAAGAGGCATTGTCGTTCTGGTGTGCACGTGTGGCGTTGAGGCACATGGATGAGCACCGGCGCGCTCAGAGGGGTCAGCTAAGGGGAGGTGGCTATCCTGAGAAAGCAAGGGCCTGATTTTGCAGAGCACTTGGAATTTTGTCTTGTCCCATATACTAATAACAAAAGTATTGCCGTTGGATGCAGTCTGTTGTCTCAGGCTAGCTATATAGTTGAAAAAGGTGTTTCTGGGAACACACCAGTGAAAATGATTTTTCCATGACTTAGTACCAACAGTAGAGCTCGGGGGCAGGGGCAGTTTGTTTAAGCAGCATTGATTTACTCTAAGCTCATCCCTTCTTGTTCTGCAATTCCCTGCTTCATGCTTCTGCCACGTTTCCATGTCTTCAGTAGATACGAATGAAGTCCTACACACAGCAACTTCATTTACTTTGTGCTGTGTGAATGGGGGGGTGTTAGGGAAACAGAGTATGTGAT